AGAGAGAGAGAGAGAGAGAGAGAGAGAGAGAGAGAGAGAGAGAGAGAGAGAGAGAGAGAGAGAAACACCTGAACTTTGTCTTTACTTCTCTAGTTTCTGCCACAAACTAGGCCAGGCATTCTGGCTACCACCAAATTCCTCTTCAAACAGGAAAATGTCCAGCTTGAGTGATCAGTGTTGATGTGGGCTTAAGTGGTGGAATGGAAGGTGGGGTGGGTGAATGAGGCATGGGAGAGGTGTGACTCTTGCCCAAGACCTATCCCGGTTTTTTTCTCTTTTCCTAATGTACCTGCCTTGTTCAAATTCCTCTATCTTCTCTGATCCTACAGTTGCTCCTTGGTAACTCTATTCTGCAGATCCAGGGATCTCACCCTCAATTTTCGCAGAGCCCTCTTACCTCAGACTATGGAATCCCTAGTCTCCATTCCTCAGAGCCCTGGATCCCAGGTGTCTCTCTAAAACACATATTGGTGTGATATCTGGGGATCCTTTAAATACAGGAAGATTGGCAGGGGTTGGGTGGGGGAAATCAGCGACTAAAATTACACCCTCTATAATATAGATTTTTCCCCTCTTGGTGGGCCTCAGTCATCTATTCATTCAAATGAAGACAGTAATATACATTTGGATGTGTAGACCTCACCCTGAGCCCACCTCTAATAAAGGCCAAGAATGCAAACCCTTTTCTCCCCTAAGAAGGTAAATCCTTAAATCCAATGAGAGGAGGCTCAGGAATGGTACCTAACTAGGTATCCACACTAGCCACATATTGTAGTTTTTAGTGTTCAAGTTTACACTTCTCTTTTTTACATGATTTGATGATTTTGTTTTTTAAACAAAACTTGAAACAAAATTGATTGTATGTATTTATGAGCTACAGAGTTGACTATCAGTATTTGTGTACAATATGTGATGATCAAATCAATAATATTAGTATGTTCATCATTACAAATTGTAATTGTTCTTTGTATCCATTACCCAATTTCTCCCTAATCCCACTCCTCCTCCCTCTTTCCTTTCTTAAAGTTATTACTAAATATTTTGCTTTTGATTCTACTGTAACTAGAATTTTTTTCTTAATTTCATTTTTTGATCGTTAATTTCTCATGTACAGGAATACTAATGATTTTTGAATATTGATCTTGTATCCTGTTACTTTCCTGAACTTGTTTGTTAGCTCTAATAGTCTTTATTGAATTCCTCACAATTTTCCAAATACAAGATCATGTCATCTCTGAATGAAAATGGTTGTACTTCTTCCTTTCCAATCTAAATGACATTTATTTATTTCTGTTGTCTAATTGTCCTGTCTCACACCTGCAGTACAATGACAAATAGATGTGGAGAGAGGACATAAGTGCACAGGCTTTAACCATTAAGTATAATGTCAGCTATGGATTTTTCACATGCCCTTTATCAGTTTGAATATGTTCCTTTCTATTCCTACTTTGTTGAAAGTTTTCATTATAAAACAATGTTTGATTTTTGTCAAATTCATTTTCTGCATCGATTGGGATACTTGTTTGGGTCTTGTGGTTTTCTTTATAGTTGTATTGATATGGTGTATTTATTAAATAGTTTTTCCTCAGAGCAGGCCTTGTTAAGAAAAACAGAATGCTCTGGCATATTTCAAAATAGTTTGCTTTTCTCCCTTCCACAGGTAGAAGCAGGTTAGGACAGTTCTTTACTGATAGATCTTGAACATACCTGGCCCCATTTTAGGCAAAATGGCCTAAAATGGCCACAAAATGGCTGCAAAACCCCCCACCCCCTTATCTTTACAAGAAGACTCGTGACTTCTGCAAAATAGAAACCCTTTTGCTTCTGCTTGGGTGCAATGCTCCTCTCTCGCAATGCCCTTCCTTGACTGCTTCAGCCAGCCCTTAGCATCCTACAGCCCATATAAGCTCTCCCACCCCAACGACAGTTCCTGCTCTCCATTTTGAGTGCAGGCTGGCAGATTCTTTTCCTTTAATAAAGCTTGATCGGTACCCAGCATTTCAGCTCACTTTCTTTCATTTACTATTTACTATAGGAGGCTGGTCAAGCTCCTGGAGGTCAATTTCACAATATTGTGTTCCCCCATCCCCATGACTGTGTCCCTCTAAAGATTTCATATCAGAGTTTTCCACACTGAACCTCCAGAAATTCATCACAACTCAGGTTTTTCTGCCCTGGAACTGGTTCCCATGGTGATTTCTGTAGGTGAACCTGTGCTCCTGTAAGCTGTGACTCCCAGTATTTGCCTGTCTGTCTCTGCAATCCTGGGGCAACAGTTTGCCCTCTGTCCTCTACTTTTTCATGGATCCAAGAAGAGTTGTTTATTATTCTGTCTCTTTAGCTTTTTATTTGTTGTTATGATGGAGTGATGACCTCCAAGCTCCTTACATGCAGAAATAGAACCTGAAACATATTTCTGAAAGTATCTTCTCAATGTCTGTGTGGATAATCAGATGATTTTTCTCTATAGAACTATGAATGTGATGATTATCTTAGTATACTTAATATTGAGCTTTACTTCTTTTATGGAATAAACTCAGAAAATTCCTCCTTGGTCTTCACAGTCTATTTCTCTTTCTCTATTTTTAAATATTAATTTTTTTTTGAGATTCTGTACTTGTTTTTCTTTCAGTCTTTTAGGTTTATTCACTCTTATGGCTTCAGGTACCATTGAAATTCTGATGCTTTCCAAATCCTTATCTTCAGCTGAGATCTTGCTCCTGGACTCTGGAATCACATATCCAATTGCCAGTTGGACTTCCCTTTATAGGAGACCTCACATATTTCAAATATGATATGGCCAAGTCTATGTCACTTCTGACCTTGTATTCTTCCATATTCCAAATTTTACTTTACAGCAGCAGTACCTACTAGCTGCTTATATGGAAATGAGCTGCAAGTAAAACTCCCCTTTTTCTCTGCACAGAAAATTAGTACAAAGAATGTTTTTGTTTATCTTTTCTTTTATCTCTTTTAGGATTACTTCCCTATTTTATATTCTTACTACTCTGTGTCTGACTGATGTAGGTGGTCATCTATCACTCCCTTTTCTTCTCCATGACTCTCCCTTAAGCACATATTCATTCTTTTTCCAGGGAATGACTATTAAAATGCAAATTGACTATATAACTTACCTATTGTCTCATATTCATGAACCCTTGGTGCACATGAAAGAGCTTAACATCTTTGGTTTTTCAGTGACATGCAACCTCATAATACAAAATACAACTACATTTTCCCCTTTCTTACCCCAGCTTGCATTGAAATTTTGTCTAAATTTGTTCATATAACATATTTCAGATATGTCTTTATACTTATTTCTTCATATCAGATTATAAGCTCCTTAAAGAGACAGAATTTTATTCATACTTTTATCCCTAGCATCAAGGATAGTTCTAGATTTATAAGGCAAATTTTGTAATAGAATTGTTAGTAACTAATAAGTTATTACAGTGGCA